GGAAGATATAACAACCACAATTTTTTTTGAAGTTCTTACAACAAGCAAATGGAGGGGACACACTTGGGTGGGAGGGGCGAGAGGGAGGAGGCAAGGAGGTTTCGGTGATGGGACTTAATAATCAACTACATTGTATATTGACAAAATAAAAATAATTAAAAAAAAAAAAAAGATCTAGGCAGATCATGGGTTTGAAGACAGAAGACCTATATTTGAATCTCACTTTTGGTGATTGAGAGCCATATGTAACACGAGAAGTGACTTAACCTGTCATTCTCCTTATCCTTGTATATAAAACAGGCATAATAGTACTGACTTTAGTTTTATGAATTATTTTTGGATAGCTCCCCTATTGTTACTCAACTACTTCAACTATTTTGTTTCTGGATGTTTAGTATTTCTGATTTTTGTTATTCGTAGATATATTAGTTTTCTTTTTGTATCCTTCACATTCTGATTTTCTAATTTTGTCTTTGGAAAATTATTTTTATTTAAAATTAGAATGGTACATAATATTACTAGTGACAGGCAGGAAGTATGAATTCTGAGTTATATAATACCTTTAACAGAGAAGATTTGAACCTAAATTTATAGGATTGTTCTTCTTTTTTTTTTGTCTTTTTTCGTGACTGGCAACGGATCGCAACCCTCAGTGTCGCGCCCATACCGGACCAGGACCGGCCACGGGATCGCAACCCTCGGTGTTGCTCCCGCCCCTCGCTCAGCCAGTGAGCGGCCGGTCTGTATGTGGGATCCGAACCCTCGGCGGGAGCGCCACCGCGCTTCCCAAGCGGCGCACTATAGCAGTGCGCCACCGGGCCGGCCCAGGATTGTTCTTCTTAGTAGATACTCCATTTTCTCCAAAGGTGACTCTCCAGTATAATAATTATTTTAACTGTACAGATAGTATATTTGATTTTCTAGTGTGATGACTCTAAGATATTCAAGTCACACACAATCCCGTTCTCCTTACATGAACTTACAGAATCTAAAAATCCATGATTTTTGCCATATGCAGTTGATGATTCCTGGGTGAGCTGTGAACTTTCCCCTATTTCTCAATCTTTATTCAGTCATATAAAATCATTGAAGAATTCTTCCTAATATTTTATCCACTCTTACTCTATTTCCCACTTTTTAAAAGACTGTATTTTTAAAAAAGT